AGAGGAGAGGGAGAGCATCACAAGGCCATTGCTGCGTGTCTCACTTTGGCCAGCGTGCATCGCTGTGAAGACCTGAATTGGTACAATGCGGCATGGTATATAGCGGTAGCGTCATACTGGTAGTCAGCATAGTAGTAGTCTTATGAAAGATTCACAAACAGGTCCTCATTGTTCCCCCTCTCAGTGGTTTTCGTTTGGTATCAGTCAATCGCTCTTCTAGAGCCGCATGATTGTGTGTGAGATTTGCTGGACACGTTTTGCTCATCATGGTGCTCGCTTCTTAATTGCATTCATGCTGTGTTGCTGTGTTTTGTTTGTTCCCGAAGCTCCGTAGGGATCGTGGTCACGGGCGGCGAAGAGAACGAGAGCTTGTAGTAGTTGAAGATGAATTCCGTCCGTTGGTGTATATATGGGGAAGGAAAGCCTATACTGGAGAACGAGAACGGCAATAAGGAATTCTAATATAATTATTATTAGAATCGTATTAATGGGCTTCGGATGATTGCTACGTGATTGGCGATTTTTTAACTCCCAAGTCAGTCAGGACAAATTGTACTGTCAAAAAGAAACAATTTCCCCGGCTTGACACCCCCCTAATATGCTACCATAGCAGTCAGACCCTCCAACTCCCGCGAAAAGCACCGATGCTGGCTAACATTGAACGCGAACGCATCCAAGAAGCCCTTTGCCCCTTTGACCATCTTCACGATCCCCTCGCCACTTCCCACTCCGCCAGCGGTCACAACGCCAAAGCAGTCAACTACGCCATCGTCTTCATTTCCCGTTGCAAAATTCATGCCCTCGATGCCTACAGCTGTTCTGACCAGACCTACAGCTTCGCCTGTAGCTCCAATGGCCTTGCAGTGTCCGAAAGATTCGCGGATCCAGTGAACAACCCGGCCTTGCTTCGCGAGGGCGGGGACGTGTGATCCACCAGGAATGTAGAGGGCGTCGAACAGCGTGGAGCGCATACCCTCAAAATGATGTTCTGGCGTGACGGTCTTGCCTTCTTGGCTCTTGACCGGGCTGCGCTTAGGGCCGATTGTGAACATCAACGCGCCAGCTGCCGCCAACGAGCTTTTTACAGCAATGTACTCAGTGTAGCTAAAGCCATCTGCAACCATGATGGCGATGTTGCGGGTAGCGATTGTGGGGGAGAGACCTTGAGCTTCGGGTGTGAAATCGAACTGGGAAAGCCCTTTCATAGTGAGACCGTGATTGGGCCGGCCGGCCTTGGTAGGAATCGGTGCGCCGACTTTCTCAGCTACGGCTTGTGCGAGATCGAGTGAGATATCGGCCAGGCGGGTAGCCATGCGTTCGTAAACAATAGGGTCGTCGCAGTGATCAAGCTCAAAGGAGAGGGCAGCGATGATGTGCGCTTGCTCAATTGGGGTGACCGAGTTCCAGAAAGTCTGGGCTTGGGCGAAATGCTCGCTAAACTTCACCGAGAGAAGACGTTGTTTCATGGCCACAATTTTTTCGGGGTAGTCGATGTAGGCGCCTTGTGCTGCGGTGGCAGGTGGGATGACGGAGTGTCGGTTAGGCCAGTAGTTCATTTTGCCTTTGTGAATTGTTTGGCGGTGCTGGCCGTCGCGATTATTGTTCATGACTGGGCAGACGGGGCGGTTGATGGGAATCTCCTGCCAATTAACGCCGAGGCGAGAGAGCTGAGTATCGAAGTAAGAGAAATTACGTCCTTGGAGCAATGGATCATCTGAAAAGCCAATTCCGGGAACGACGTGGGCGGTGCAGAAAGCGACTTGTTCTGTCTGAGGGAAGTATTCGTCAACGTTCTTGTTGAGCTGCAACTCGCCGATGTATCTGACTGGGAAAATTTCCTCCGGCCAGACTTTGGTAGCATCGAGAATGTCGAAGTCGAAATCGTCTTGGCGGCTTTCGGGACATACTTGGATGCCGAATCTCCAGGATGGGAAAGTACCGGCGTCGATGGCAGTGTAGAGATCTTTACGGTGGAAGTCTGGGTCTTGGCCGGCAATCTTGAGAGCCTCGTCCCATACCAAGCTGTGAACTCCGAGAGTGGGAGTGAAGTGGAACTTGACAAACGAGCGGACACCTTCGGCATTGATCAAGGTATAGGTGTTTACACCGAAACCTTGCATCATACGATATGATCTAGGGATTCCTCGATCGCTCATGGCCCACATGAACATGTGCGTAGCCTCACTATGCAAGAACTGGAAATCCCAGAAGTTGTTATGAGCGGATTGCGCTTGCGGGACCTCGTTGTCTGGTTCGGGTTCTGAATTCATTAGCTCAGTAGCCTCGAAATCTGATGATGATACATACTGCCAGCGTGAATTACATCTGGAAACTTCATGGCGTCCTGGATGAAGAAAACCGGAATGTCATTCCCAACAATGTCCCAATTGCCCTCCTCGGTGTAGAACTTGACTGCGAAGCCTCGTACATCACGAACGGTATCTGCACTTCCACGCGATCCCAAGACAGTAGAGAAGCGGACGAAGACAGGCGTAGTTCGAGTGGTATCTGTGAGCACACCAGCACTGGTCACATCTTCCGCACTTTCGTAGAGCTTGAATGATCCGAATGCGCCTGCACCTCTGGCGTGCACGACTCGCTCAGGAATTCTTTCGTGGTCGAATTTCATGATCTGATCCCAGTTAGCAAAACTCTTACAATCTAGCACCTGGAGGAGCAACATGCCTTCTCTCTGGCATGATTGTCCTCAAGCAATTGCGGGCCTTGACGATCCCCAGTCGATGCCGAAAGCCAGTTGTCATGACTGCTTTGCTTGACGCCAAAATCCGTAGTAAGGAGGTCGTCTGAAGTCGCATCAATGGTGTCTTTCTTCATGTCTGAGATCTTCTTGTTGGATGAAATGGCTCCCGAGATGGCCTCGCCAGCTTTCTCGACTGCACCTCCAAGTACTGATTGCATCGTGAAGGTGGTTTTGATTCTCTGAGAATTGGTGATGGTGGGGGGTTGTGAGGACTGGGAAGGGAAGAGAAGAGAAGAGGAGAGGAGAGGGAGGGATGATTGCGGGGTGGCGAAGAAAGAACTAAATATTGTAAGTGTTGCACCTGCCTGCCCTGCCCGCCTTGCCTGCCTGCCGTGTACGGCCTTAGCACCTCGCTTGCTTTGTTTGGTCAGGGAGCCAAACAAATGACGTTATTCGCAGTCACCGACCTCTTTCATTGTTGACGTAGCTCCTGTCCTCCTTGCAACCCAAGTAACAGACCGACCTGGATACGTGCAGCCTGGATATTATCTCACCAATGGAAAGATCTCCATTACTTTCGTTCTTAGAAATCAGTTATTATGATTGGATTGGATTGGATTGGATTGCGTAGGGGCAAGACTCCACATGGAAATTGGTTGACGGAACCAGGAAATACGCACCCCAACCAACCAACTAAAGCCACTCGATACCTGAATCCCGTTTTGGTGAAAGATCCAATTAAACGTCAGAACAGCTACAAGGAAGGAGCAAAAGCTCCCGGATCCAAGGTTACGTTACGGGCCGGCTCAGAGAAAGCGGGGTGGCATGCAAATCTTGGAATACCATGTCTTTCTTACTCATGTCTATTGCTCCGTTCGCTTCGGGTATGTATCGGAGGTTCGGAGCCCCAGTTGAGGTTCCACAAGAGAATCCTGGATGACGTCGAGCCTTTAGCGAGCCCGGTCGATCACGTGCGCTTATCCATCACCCTCCCCTTTTCCTGCCGGGAAGGAGCGATGTCTAACAAGCGAGAAGGAAAATAAACTATGGAGACCGACTTGATACCAAGTTGCAGACACAGCTCACGCTCTGGTAACGACAAGTAACCAAATGGAAGGATGAATCTGAATCTTAAGTGCATGCTTCTTTTCTTTCCTCCCTACCATAACGCTACTATGTATTTTCATTCTAAAGTCCCGTCACACCAGTTCAAAAAGCATAAGCAAAGACAAAAAGAAGAAAAGGAATCCATCCGTCAACAAAAACCCCCACCCATCCACAACCCCAACCTCTAATCCTCGCCTCTTTATTCCATTACCTGCTCCTTTTCTTCCCAGATGGCATACCTATCACCTCGTCAAAACGCAGTGATCATCCCATCGTACAGTAATCATATAGTGATAGTAGAAAAGGTGTGGATCTTAATATATAATTAGGTTTGTATACTCCCAATTCCCTGTACGGGTATTAGCCACATAGCCTCTTGGCTGCTCCTATTAGCTCTCAGAAACCTCTCTCCTACTAGAAATCAACAACCTCTGATTGCTGAGTCCTTGATTCTTTCTATCAATGAGATGAGTAGGTAGCGTACGCAAGGCGGATGGATTTCCACTGGCAGCTCGCGGAAATAGATTATGTAAAGAGCGATGTGTCTGCGCTGCAGTCTTCTCGCACATTCTTCCCTTCTCATTCCAGCCCTCGTGAGGTTGAACGACAGCGTACTGTGGAGGGGAAGAGCTCCGACATATACCTGACTGCGAATCAAGAGATATATGTGTATATAATCATGGTAGAGTCGAGGGTGAGAAGGGGGGGATAAAGAGGACGTTCGAAGACACTCGATTGTGTTCTGTATGTATATGTATGTATTGTGATGATGATGGCTCAGGGAGGAACCAACCACTCTTCTATATAGGCGTATGCACGTGATATAGCCACCTATTGGAGCAAAGGCACGTGATGCATTCACGTGACAGGGGTGCCTAGAGATAGATAGTACTACATACATGGACAAAACAAATACAGACCCCCAGCTCCACCACAGTACTACTAGTATACTAGTAGGTGTGGACGATGGAAGGGGTAAACTGATTTCTCTAATTCAAGGCCTTCCAATCAGCTTCAGGCTTGTGGTAGATGCCGGCTGGCTTCGCTACTATGAACTATTCTCGGCCCCTCCAGGCAAGTTGAATGAATGTAAGTCCGTCCATCACGATCCGAGTTCCGATTTTGGCCAGACGCGCCTCCCAAGTCACTGAGTAGCTTCGAACGAACGGTCAAAGTCTGCGAGCCTTCTCTTCAGTCATGTTGGGGGTCGTTTTCTTCTCTCATGGTCTCCATCCATACATAGCCCAAAAGCATCGCGACAGACGAACCTGTACCTCTTTCCAGTGCTGGTTGGGAAACCCAGCCATCCGAGTTTCGACCCCACTATCTTGAACATAGAACGATCTGAGTTTCTGCACCGTCTCATAGTCTTCCCACGCATTGCGATGCGCTGCGAGTTCCTCCTCACTGGGTTGATAGGGAGAGGTGCCTGGTAGACCGAGGTTCTGCCAGTCTTCTGACAGCTCTAAGAATATCCTGGCGAAGCTCGACAGCGCAATCTCTCCACTACGAGGAGTTGCAATAGCGGAATAGTCGAAAGTATCGGTGAACCGTTTGCATGGCGGACCAGAGATTCGGTATCAGAGCCCAAGAATCGTGGTGTAGGTCTTTTGGCAGAGATCAATCTCCTTTTTCCAGCTTCTGCTTGGCCTTCTCACGAGCGGGATCATCGGAAACATTCTCAGAACTTGGACCAAGAAATTGTCGCAAATATTCTTGAAAGTCGGCTAGTGCCTCGACAAAGTCAGGCGTCTCGTGAGTGTAGAAAAACGTTGGCTCGATACTGGCAGACTGCCAGTCAATGATTGCCGTAACCACGCGCGGATCTTCGTCAAGAGACGTAGATATTGCGCTTATGGAAATCGATGTGGAGAAGCGTGGGCTCTGCATCCTTCTGAATATCCTCTTGTTGTAAAAGAACGCCGAGAATTTCTTCACTGATTTTGAGTAGTCGAAAATGCTTATCGAGCGTACCCTCAAATTCATCCTTCGCCGGACTGGGAGGCAAACGTAAATATCCGGCATCCAAAATCCTGTACTGTATTCTCTGAGACCCTTCCCTGTTCCTGAAATAGCAGTTGGGCCGACAAAGGCAAGCTCACTTACATGGTCCCCGGTTTGGCCCTCGACGCCCGTAGTATCGTGGCTCCGTCGGAATAGAGGGCCAATAGTCTGTACCGCAATGGTGTGCAATGCAGAACGAAGACCCAATATCGATTGCCTCTTTCCCGCTCGCCAATGACTCTGAGATATACAGGCTACCGGATGCGGGAAATTGGAGGGCTGCAAGCTCTATCAGGTGCCGGGACAGGCGTTCAACACACCGAATTTTTTGTTCTGCATTAATAGTCGGCCACCTTTCTTGCGGTGGGACTCCTGAAGCGTGCTTCATAATAATGTATAGACTGCCGATATCATTTGCGGGATCGTCGCTCCAATCGAGTATCTCCGGCACTGGTAGAGATTGTGCAAGACCGGACTTCCAAGTTAGCATAGAAGCAGAAATGCGAAATGAAACTGAAAATGAGCCTGAGCGTATGCAATCTTTGCGACTTCAGAATGCGTCACCAAGGCTGGAGGACCTGTAAGACGGAAGGGGACGCGCGCAACAACCTGGGCGCCGTTATCCAGATGAAGGATGGACACCCGGTGAAGCCACCCTCTTTCTTTCTCGTAGTTGAGAACTCAGGATGCTCCCGGACAGGCTTCGATGGCTTTGCGACATAGGGTATGAGTCGAATTAGATGTATCTTGCGCGTTGATGCTCTTCCTCACGGTGAAGCCATCTTCCACTGGTGTAGGAATAGGGTCCAGCGCAGGCGAGCATGGATTAGAACGAAAGGGCGCCCAAAATGACGACAACGACGACGGCTTATCAGAACTGGACTCCCAGAGTCGAGAGACACACTCGGTGTATTGAGTGTGGAGAGATCGATGAGATGCGAGTCTTGAAGCCCTTTTGACGCCTGCCGAAAGTCCTTTGGAGAGACGGTGCATATACTATGTTATTCGATTGCTGATTCAGCAACTCCATCACGATCCGTTGCGCATCCTACAGCGTTTTGTGATTCGAAAATAGCGAGGTGGATAGATAGGTGCCAGAGCGCGTGAAGCCGAAGCGTCGAATTTCATCGATTAGATACGCGCACGTGAGGTTGAAAATTGAGATATTCATGTCGCGAATATAAGGAAAAAGAAAAACAATAAATAGAAGCCTCAAAACTACTCTAATTAACTCTCACCACCCCAACTCAAGACTGCCTACCTACCGTAACCCCGATGGACCTCGCCTCGTCCTCCCCCGCAGACCCAATCCTCGGCCTCCTCGAGAACTACGCTTCCCTCAACCTCTCCACCATCACGACTCTCCCCTCCCTCCCTTCACCTCTAGAATTCCTGCGTTTCGTTGCACAGAACCGCCCGTTTGTGATCAGAGGGGGAGCTGCCGAGTAAGCAGGCACCTCTTGTCGTCTCCTCAAGACTCACTCTCTAGACTAGATATCCAAGTACGGCACAGCTAGGTGGTGCCAACGTCTCGGGATTTCGCATGTTCTTTTTTGATTTTTTTTTTTCGTTTTTTTTTCAAGGGAAGATATAGACACAGGCTAACTTATCGTTACCTCCTTGCATGCATGCAGTTGGAAAGCCGTGCAGGAATGGAACGTTGCTACGCTCAAGACTTTGCTGGAGGGGGTTGATATCAATGTTGCTGTGACGCCATTTGGGTAGGTATGCGTTTTTCATTATCAGTTGCGAGTTTGATTTTATACAATCTTCTGCATTTGCAAACATCTCTTTTTCACTTGACAGGAACTATATTCCATATAATAGCGATGTGGAGCGGCGAGCGTTTGTTGGTGGCACTATGCACAATCGTTTGCATATCCAAACCCCCGTGCTGGACATCTTTTTCAAATATGTCAACTTATCCACTGCTTTGCGAAATCTTCTTAGCATTTCCTCCTTCTCAGAGACATCCATCATTCAGATCTCGTCTCTATCTCTCCTCTCCGATCCAATACACCTCCTACCCATCCACGCCTCAATACGTGGATATGCCAGCAGCTAATATCAATAACACCACACTCAGAAACGCAGATAGCCCGGTCCTCTCCCCCAGCGGCGAACTCCTCTTCGTAAAACCGCACGAGGAACAGCAGCCCTTCTCCCAATTTCTCGATTTCATCATCGCGCAAGAGAAATCCCTCTCCTCCCGGTCCATTTCACCATCCACCCAGCCACCAGGGGGAGAAGTCCGCTACGCTCAAACCCGTACGTGATATCCTCCTCACAAGATTCCCAATCCCCCTCCTCCTCCAAGCCCTCGGGCCCGTCAAATCCAACATCAGCATTGGAAAGAAAAAGAAAAAAAATTATGCACACAGCTAAAACAGGCGCCCCCCCAAAAAAGAAAACGACAACCTCCCCAACGAGTACGCCCTCCTCTCCACCCACGTACCCCCCTCCATCCCCTTCTCCCGCATCGCCCTCAACTCCCAGCCCGACGCCGTGAACCTCTGGATCGGCAACTCCCTCTCCACCACCGCCCTGCACAAGGACAACTACGAGAACATCTACGTGCAGATCATCGGCCGCAAGACCTTCCTGCTGATCCCCCCCATCGCCTGGTCCGCTGTCGCCGAGCGGCCCCTCCGACCAGCCTCCTACGCCCGGCTCGCGCAACATTCCCCCCGCCATCTCCCGGGAGGGGGCTTTGAGATCGTAGAGGAGGCCGGCGATCCCGTCCCCTTCGCGACGTGGGATCCGGATTCCCCGCTGGGTGCCGAGGAGGGCAATGGGACCAGGTACTCAAAGTGGGTGGAGCCGCTCAGGGTGGAGCTTAGGGAGGGCGATATGCTCTACTTGCCTGCGCAGTGGTAGGTTTTCGCTCTCGCTCTCGCTTTCCTTTCGGGTTCCAGACTCAAGCTGACAGAATGAGCATAGGTACCATAAGGTCTCGCAGTCGTGTTCTGAAGAGGGGATCTGTGTCGCGGTTAATTACTGGTAGGTTATCCCGCCTCGTCTCTGAATGCGGAGGTCGGGTTGGGAGAGTTCTAACCGATGCATTGATAGGCATGATATGGAGTTCGGAGGTGGGTTCTGGCCGATGTGCAATTTTGTTCGGGACGTCGGGCTAGCTGCGACTTCTGGGACGGGCGGAAGTTGAGTGGCCACGGGAAAGAGTACAAAGACCAAGGAAAGGCAGAAGCCGCCGCGTATTCGAGCTCCATTGTAACAATTTGCAAGGGTCTCCTACTGCTGTAAGGCCGTGAGTTGAGAGAAGGGGGGCAGGAGGGGGAATGGAAAATTGAGAAATGGAAAGCCAAGTAAAATCAAGATCAGTCACAACGCAAGCGGCGCGTCTGTCAGAGTCTGGTTGCCATGACGAGTTAACATGTAAAAGTACAAAACCAGCGCAAGCAATCATCCATCCACTTTCTATGCCATATCCCAGTGGTCCTGCAAAGCCTAATGCAAGCATCCCGAGACCCACGCAGTCAAAAACTTTTTGTTGGTAAACAGCCCTCTCTCCATTCGGAAAATCCACAACAGACCGATCGTGACATCGAGATAAGGGATCGCCAAATATCATTGCTTGCTTGCTTGCCTCAAGAAAACCGGAGATGAAGAAATTGACGTCTGTGCAAAGGCCGCCCGTATGCATTTCTAAATGTGCAGATACCAGCCAGCTTCCTTACACGACAGACTCGAGGGTCTTAGCAGACGATCTAGACCGTAAATCACAAGATCCAACGCCAAAAGAAAGTCGTCCCATGAAGAGCAGAGAAGGAAGATTGATGTTGTGCGAAATGGGGTATAAGGCGATCTGATCCATATTGTAGATCGTTTGAAGCCAGTAGTCCATCGCCAACTTCAAGAACTATTGGCTGGGATCAAGATGCAATCGCTCGCGATCCTTGGTATCCACCCCGGTTGTTCTTCTTGGGCTTTTGAACGGTGCTCCATCCATCATCCTCTAGGACTTCCGTGGTAGTAGGAGTTGTTGCTTGAGCAGGTGATTGGGGGCCTCGGCCGTTCGAGTTCTGTCGTCCTCCTCGGTCATCAAAATATCTGGGACCTCCACGACCTTCCCCTCTGCCTCTGCCTCCACGACCTCGAGGGCCACGAGGGATATCGTCTCTGGGTGTTGGTGGCCCGGTCGAAGCACGTCTCCAAGCACCAGTCTCTAATGGCCTGGGTCGCACATCCCGGACGATCTCTTTCGGTTTCACCGACTTGTCCTCCACTATCTCTCCGTTGGCGTTCTCTCTCTCAATGGTGTCGTTACTCTTGCTTGCATCCTCACCCTCCGACTTTTGCTGAGCCTTTTTCTCGGCCTCGGCAGCGTCCTCTGCAGCCTTCTTCGCAGCGGCCTCTTTCTTCTCCTCCATTGCTTTCTCCTCGGCATCCTTCTTCTCCTTCGCTGCCGCAAGCTTCTTGTCTTCAATCTCTCTCTCTTTGGCTGCGGTGTCAATAGGGCGAGCAGCACCAAATGGGCTTGCCTTGGCGTCACCAGAGACGGGTACGGCTGTAGGTGGCTGATCTGGAGCCTCGGAAACGGTTCGTTTGGCGAGGTTCAACTTGGGTCGGCCGGTTGGGAGGGCGTGTCCGGGAGCTGGGGAAGAGGGAGCTTCACTTCCATCTCTTGATGGTACCGGGGACTTTGGTGCTGGTACAGGAACATCGGGACGCATCTTTGAACGCCATTGGTTATCTTGCTCGGCAGCAGTTGGCGCACGTTCAACGACTGGTCGCTCCTGGAACTCCCGTCTTGGAGGCCTGGACCCATCCTGCGAACCATGTGCCCGACCTTCGCCCCATTGCGCGGCGGGTGCCTCCCGGTAGCCTCCTTCACCTCTTGCTCCATCGTTTGTGCGTGGGCGCCCCCCCTCTCTCGGTCCTCGATCTGGTTGTACCAACGGGGACAATGGACCCTTGCGATCCCAGTTACCAAAGTCTCGAACCTTCCCGTCATTCTCGGGAAAGCGTTCTCGGCGTTCTCCACGATCTCCTCCAAAGTCGGCCCCGAATCCAACCCCGCGTTCTGGTCCTCGACGATCGCCACCTCGGTCGTTACCTCGGCCTGGCAAATCTGGCAAAGGTCCCTTTCTGCTCCAGTCAGTAATCTCGCGTGCCTCTGGTCGATCTCCTCTGTCCTTGGCTGTAAGATATGTTAGTAAATAGATATGCTGAACATCTTGGCGAATACATACGAGGATCGGCGACACTGATTCTGATGTTGCGTCCCTGGAACGAGCTTCCGTTGAGCGTCAGAGCTTGCTTAAGGCCATCACGGGATGCAAACTCGGCATATCCAAACCCCTTGGGTTTCATCTCCATCTTGTCCTCAATAATTCGCACATTGGTGCATTCGCAGCCAGCAAAAAAATCGGTGACATCACCAACGGTTGCTTCGAAGGAGAGATTGCCAAGATGAACGGTGTAAGGTGGCTTGTCGGGTAGGGGGAGTTCCTCGCGGACAGAGTAGCCTATATTACCATTAGTATACAGTGTTCAATGGCAAGGGGCGCAATGTGGAAAGCCCATTTGCGAGAACTGACCTCCTGCGGTGCTACCACCATATGTGCCAGTACCAGAGTTGTAAGTGCGTCGTTCACCTCCTCCGTAGCCAGTGCGAGAGTCTGGGATCAATTAGTCACGCGTTCCAAAGAGAGATAGATACCATCTGTATGGTAGCCTAGGAGACTCCTACCGGCTGTGAAGACATATGTTAGTAATTGATTATACAGCGCAGAAAAAGGGGCGACTCACACACTGGCGCATCCTCCATCTCATCAGCCCAGGATCCCATCTCTGCATCGTGTCAGTCTCAGCTGTGTTGAGGCTGCGGTGGCTGCGGTGGCTGCGGCTTCGGCTGTGGGGGATCAATCTTACTCTCATCAGTCAAGAAGGCCCCGAGGCTCATCTTCTGCTGCTCTTTCTTCTTGGGAGCTGCATAACAAACATTTCAGCAGAAGTTCAAGTCAGGCCTTCTATCGCTCAGCGACTCTAGAGGTGTGGAGTGGCAGAGTGAGGTCCTGGAGAACAGACGTACCCATATTTGCGTCTTTTTCCAGACGATGCGCGAGGACACCTTGGGCCTTGCGCTTCGTTCCTGAGAGATTTCTGAAGGAGGGCAATTCCTCCTGGTCGATTCTGATCGTTTATTTGCGATGTTAGTCAAGCTGAGGGGGCTTGGGATTGTGTCGTCTGGAAAGAAGCTCCTTGGGCGGATGCTAAGGGAGCAAAATTTGGTTGACGGCAACTAGCCTTCCACCAGGGTGCACTAGGTGGCGCTAGTCTCTTCTAAGCTAGCGCGGCACATTGAATCCACCTAATATCAAAATCAAAATCAATGTCAAAATCAATGTCAATATCAAGATCAAAATCAAGATCAGAATCAAGATCAGAATCAAGATCAGAATCAAGATCAGAATCAAGATCAGAATCAAGATCAAAAATTAATATCAAAATCAATCTCAATATCGAAATCAACCTCGAAATCAACCTCGAAATCAATATCGATACTGACCAATTGACCTCACAACTCCCTCACGCCACTCAACCCAATGACCGAATAATATATCAGACTCGGGCTCTTCTCTGCAGCTGAACATGTAACCGAATGCTTGCTCGATATAGAAATCCAAGGACGACATGACACAGCCAGCCAAGTCAGGGGCAGGCGGAGAGGCTCCGCGACGACGCAACGATTTGCCTTCGGAGATCCTCGAGATCGTTAGTCCTGCCCTTCGCGTCGGTGGCCTTTCTGGTATGGAACTCAATCGCATCTCTAACAAACCATCTCGTCCTTCGCTCGTGACACTGGCTAACTTCGCCTTCAGGAACGTCTGGATTACTTTTCGGTGGGTTTGCTGGTGTCATCCGCTCTAATACCCCATTCCTCTTTGCATTAGCATCAGGAATTCAGTGGTCGGTTCTTGGAGGCACCTTTTGGGGTACGGGCGTCCAATCCTCTGTCCTAACTTCGATTCCACTGCTAACACGCGCTCTGTCCGTAGCCTCAAGAGGGGCAGTACTTCATGCCTGGGGAAAGGAGCAAGTCACCCCCAATGAAAAAGTATCAGCGAGTGCAATAGCTGGAAGTATCGCAGGAACAGCAGGTGGTCTCCTACGTTAGTATATACCTACTTTTCCTGACGACCACTTTCTAATGCTGATCATAGGTGGAAGGAAAAATGTGATTCCAGGAGCAGTCATGTTTGCCATTTTCGGAGCCACAGGCCAGGCTTTGTATAACATGGCCGATGCCCGCAACTCGGAGCTAGCGCTGGCACCGGAAAGGGACCTCAAGGACTCGTGGTTGAACTCAAAATGGAGTCCTATGAAAGTTCTGTCCGATGCCGAGTACGAGAAAATGTTGCAGGAGAAGCTCCTACGTATCAACGCGGAGATTGCGCTGGTTGACGAGAACATTGAGGCTCTGCGGAGCGAGGAACGCGAGATGGCCGCCGAGAAGTCGCTGGAAAAGTCAAAGGTCTCGAAAGTGAAGTAGCCGTTGTATGATTGAATTGCCCTCAGGCGTGTAAAGTACCAAATTACTCACATATGATATTCGTGGACATCATGAGAGAATTTAGGTACCCAGCCAGTTCCTAGTGTGTGTTTATGTGAGAGTTTTAGTGTGCTCTCACCAAAAACGTCAAAAATGCAGCGTTTTATTATTATTTTCGGGTTTTGCAACCAATTCGATTGTTGTTTCTTGTTTCTTGGACTACAGTTCCTTGCCAGATTTGTTCACATCCCCCGGAGGCAGCCACCATGTAGTTGCAAGAAATTTTCCCGAACCCAAGTACGACGAATCCACAGCGCTGCTCTTTACCGTTATGAGCGGGCGCTCATAGGTTTCTAGCTACTTCTCGTTTCATTTATGTTTTGAGACATTTGCTTTCATCAAAGCCTCCTCATAACCGTGCTGTTCTTCAGATATACATGAGCAGAGTCAGACTGCGCAAACATATTCATTTATGTCTTATTCTAAGACTTTCATAGGTATCCAGCTCATTTCCCCTGCTACCTGCCACAACCACACCCTACCCAAGTCCTAAAGCAGGCACCATACTACTTGTACCATCCCCATAATGGTACCAGGACCATTTTGCTGCTCCTCCGCCATCCCAATCACAATCAAGCATCTCTCGCGCCTCATCCTCCCAACCGCAACTCACAAGCCTCTGAACCCCGGTGAAGAACTTGCTCCTCTTCTCAGCACCTTCCTGGTGTCTCTCTGTACCTCTCACATCCCCATCCCCACGGCCGTGCCAACAGGATACGTCTCCCGATACTTCGTTATCATACAAGTCAAGAAGACCCGACATTTTGAAGCGCCTCCCACCTTTAAACCATCAGATGAGTCCTCCGAGAACTTGTCCTTCGTCAATGTTCCAATGAACCCACGTCCTAAAACTTGCTCTACATTGCAGCTCGCCGCCGAAAAACCTCAAATGTCCTCTCCACAGAGAACATCCGGACTCTCGGATTTTGTCGAAGTCCCGCTCCCTACCCCATCTCTCAAGACCCATGTCTCCTCCTCGGAAGAACATATGCGCTACTTCGTCCCACTGGAGAGCACGACAAAACCTACCATTCTGGTGGAAAACAGTCTTATCAAAGGCAAGGAGTTTCGCGAGATCACGATTCAGGAGGCGCGTGCGAGTCTCGCGCCTATTGCTGGTATGGCTACGGGAGAGCGGAGGAAGTTTGAACAGGCTTCCGGGGTAGAGAGGTTATGGTGCGAGGATCACAAGTTCATGTTTGAGTTACGGGTGTGGTTTAACGAGCTTTGATTTTCAAGGGCTTTTCCTTGAGTTTTGAAGCTTAGGAGTATTTGGTTTGCACGTAATGCTTTGTCTCCTTGCGAATTGACGACTTTTCTCTTGCCTTTCACTCTTGGACTCTAGTGCCGTTCTTTTCCAAGTTGCTTACCGTCGCTGTTTACGCTTTTACCAGTCTCTCTGCGGTGCCATGTAGATGAATGGATTTGTTGGTCGTTAAGATTAAGGGAACACTTGTCTCACCCCATCGAAACTTCAACAGCGATGTGAAGTCTTTGGCGTCCAAGTGAAATTTGCAAATAGTCTCCTCTAGAATAGCACTTCGCACGTCTTTGCCGCACGCTAGGCTTTCTCAGCACAACTTCACTCCAGTGGATGCTCCTCGCCGCTCATATTATAAGGTCAATTTCGAGTCTTGAGATGACCTACCAACCCCCAACAAACAGTTACAAGAAGCATTTATCATCATCAAAACACTTACTTCATCAACATCATCCAGCCGCCCCCTTCACTCCCTCAACCCACTAGTCATAAGAATCCCATGATTCCCATTCTCATCACCATCTCTCACTATACATATCCAGCCTACCAACATGGACTCCACAAGCCCAAATAGCGACAGCTTCATCGATATTTCAATGGCACCACCACCGCAACAAACCCTCCTCTGCTGCCCCCTAAACCCGATTTCTCAAACCTCCTCAACCTCGGACCTCGTGAGCAACTTCCTACTCGCCCTCCGTATCCTCGGTCCCAGCATCGCCCTGACATCTCCCAACAACCCCCAAACCATGGCCGCCCCTACCGACACGACCCAGTCTCCGTTCCCCACCTACCCGGCAACCCACCCCATCCCCCGCGAGCTCGTACTGCTGCAAACGGTCCGTCGCCCGCCAGCAACCGATACGCGAGTAACAGAACAGAGACACTACGCGCAGCTGCCTGACAAAGACGAGGAAACTGTCGTCATGTATCCCGACGAGGTGTTCGGCTTAGTAGAGGAGAGCAGAGTGGAGGAGCTTTGGAACCAGGGCTGGAACTGGACGCGGAGGGAGGATCTTGGGGATGATAGGGAGAGCGGACGGGTGACTTGGAGGTGTGTAGCTTGTCGGAGGGAATATTCGGTTAGGCGGGTGAGGCTTTTGGAAGCGGAGAGGGAGTAAGCTGGTTGATGAGAGGGAGGCTGTCTGATTGTGTTTATGGGCCTGGATAGCTTCGTGATGGGATATTAGAAGTTTCCTTGGGCTTGGGATTCATGGATGCTTGTCTGCTCTGCATTTCGCACGAATTGGATTTGGAGACGTTCTGTTTCCTGTCTAGTTTTTTGGCCATTTCGATTAGATTACTACGAGGCTCGGAATCTTGAGGCAAGAAAAAGAATTGTCTTCTCTTCTCACGGGAATATCGCCAATATTAGGCAGCAATGGACGATGAATCTCCAAGCGTACAGGCTTCCCAAGGTCTTGAGTGTGAAGCTCATGGTAAATGCTTATTGGGTCTTCCCGACTCATCGAATCATGTCATGCAGGTTCCGGGACCAACTGCCATTCCCCCGCGAATCTGACAAGGAACTGCTTCTTTAGTACTCGCCTTTAGCAGCTGACACAGCAAAACATCACCTCAATTCTACAGCACGGGCTTTCCTGGTTTTGAGAAAGCGTGTAGAGCGGTTGATCTTTGGCACGATAGTCGCAACTCTATTTGGTGGATATCGCGTCTATCTACACCTCTTAACACTGACCTATTCACAACTTACTAGAGTAATTACCAAAAAGGAAACTCCGTAATGATGGCCTAAGAAGCAGATTTGACTAGAGGATGGCTTATTACAACTTATACACACACTTCAAAGGCCATAAATTGATCAAGTTGTAATAAGCTTTCATGGGTACGCCTTGACGTTCGCTAGCTAGCAATCCAAAGGCACCAAGGAGCTACTTTACCAATAGGACCATAATATTAGTCCTAGTCATTCAAGAACCAGTATAGGCTCTTCAGGTGGAGCCTGGAAATATCAGTGAGGGTTGGGGCTGGTGTTGAAAAGAGTGGCTCCCGTCCAGATATGCGACCATGTACGTAGTATCTTAGCTCTTTGAATTTCTAATGACTTCGGATCGAACCACGACTTCGGTTTCAAATCAGATCGGATGTCTTGTTGCTGCCTAAATTCAATAATTTTGTAACTTCAAAACATCTTCAAGGCAGACAACACCATCGCCAAACCACAATACGAAGAACTCACAATACCAACAATTTAGATAACAATACTTCGACAACAACAATGGCTGAGCAAGAAAGCGAGAATATCCCCCATGGGTTGGCGGGAATCGCAGAGCCAACTATTGTTGCTGTTCGCCGATTCAAACACAAGGTTCTGCCGTCCTCCATTTTGATCTCCAAATACCGTCCCAAGACGTACGGATACTTACACTGTTTGACTTCTATCGCGAAGAGTCATCCTCCCAGAAGACTGTTGGGATCGTTATCATGGTGCCCAAGTTTTTGTACGAAAAGGAGCTTCGAGGACTTCTGCTACACGCCATCGACCCATCTGCCAAAGTCTTCCGATCACTTGACTGAGGTTGCTCCCATCTTCTCAACCGCACTTCTCTTGACCTTTCAAACTGCCAAGCGAAGAAAGAAAACCTCTAGCTATGACAGAGATCGATCTGCAGCTGTAGTTTCTGGCTCTGCAACTGCCGGCTCCGTAAGTGGTCTTGCCCCACCATCCACGCCTACCAGAAGCGGCTCGCTTCGAGAGTCAACAAAAATACTCGTCAAGAAAAAGCCCAGCCCTTCCAGACGTCCACACACACCACCAAACTCGAGCCCAAATACCCTATGTTCCGGTGGATGTGGAGAGGTCGTCCCAATCAGCAGTCTCGATGCCGTTACTGGTTCGCACACCCCTCCATCGACACCAAAGACAACAAGCTTCAGAGAAGTGAGCAAGTTACCCTTCGGCGAGCTCCTCGCGACCCCTCCACAAACCCCACAAGCATTCACATTGGAGACTCCAACCCCACATAATCCAAACCAGAATCAGCTCCTCGATTTCCTCAATACCCCAAGAGAAGCAAGTCCATCGTTGAAGCCCTCAATCACTTTGGAGACTCCACCCCCACAGAGCCAAAATCAGGATCAGCGCTTCGACATCCTGAAGACCCCGACAAAAACAACCCCATCGCTGAAGTCCTCAACTCAACCCAGCCCAGCTACTCCAACATCCCTGGGCAGTCATGCAAGCAACGCCTTCCACATCACCGCCTACCATCCCAACGCCGCCATCAACGAGGAAGTCGAGGCCGGAGAAAAGGCCGTCTTCGGAACGAAGCATCGTGAGCTTTCGGCGCTGGAGCTGTCCCGGGAGAAGCGCAAGATCATGGTTCGGAAGCTGAGCTATGGTCTATCGGACACGGTCAGGGATATTGTCAAGAAGGCCGCTCTGAACGAAGAGGAGCGGGAGTTGGAGGGAGAGCTTGCGCGTGGCTATGGCTTGGGCATCTGGAAGAACAAGGAAGTGGATGCTGAAAAGCTGGTGACTGCTCATTTCGACAAGATGAGTCTGTGGTTTGCTGGGCAGAAGCTTTGATGCGGAAGGCTCTGGAATGGGTAGATGTCAGTCTGGAGGTTTAGAAAAGGGGAAACGTATCTGGCGGAGCGCACATGGCAGGGGTGATTTGATTTTGAGGCGTGAGATTTTGACCCTTGGGGCAAATTTGGGCATTGGGGGCTCAGAATCTGCTGGTTTCTTTCCTTGCACTGGTGCACTGGGAATCTTCAGAAAAGGTGAAGCGCTGAGTGGATTTCACAGAGAGATTTTTCAAGGAAGCGGATTGGCAATCTACAAGCCAGGTTTACAATCAGGCAATATATGCGTCTGAGTGTCGACTCAATGAAAACTTTCATACCAGACTTTGCCATTATCACCTTGAACATTATCTGAACACTACTCGTCGTAAGTGAGACCAAGGGTCCTCACCCAGACTGTTAGTTCAACGGAATACTCGGTAAGGAAGAAGAGAAGAAGGAAAAAGAGCATAAGTACTCCTAACCTTCCATTTTAATGCCCACAGCTCTTTCCTCCTTCTCGAATCATTTTACCTACTCCAAGTCCATTTCTTCAACTTCAAACACCTGAGCCTGGTAGAAATATGTCTACACCATCGATTGCCTCGACCATCTTCTGCTGCAACAATGCTTTCCCGGTTGAGGACCCTCACTGCGAGCTTTATCAACCCAGCTTCCATTCCGTCCTCGAATTTGCAAACCGCCGCCTCGAACCTCATAACTAATCTCACTCACTATACACTCCCTCCGCATCTCGACACTTGCGATACAGCGTCTTGCAGAGTCTCACAACCATAAAGAAATCCGATGGCGGATTAAAAAAGTTCATTTCGTTTATAAATAGGCGTCCTAAGCTATGCTTCCAATCTACAATCAAAGGCTCAAGCAGTAATCAAGATCACAGTCCTGTATGTGGTTCGGTGGTTATTTGTTATTGATGCCCATCTACCTGTCGCATTCGTACAGTGACCCGATGTCCTGCTTCCTGTTATCGGCATTACCACTGGGGCCGTGGTCGCTTTCGCAAGTCTTCAAATCGGGGATCCGCTTCTCTGGATGTGCCAGCTGGAGAAGGTTTTGCCGTACCGAGAAGTTCGGAACCTGTGCTTGGGTTCCATATCCATACTTCCGAACTTCTAATGGTCCAAATAGCTTCCCAATCAACATGCCTATCGGAGTACTTGTTCAGCTCGTGTATGGACCCAAAGCATTTGGCCCACAATTCCAAATCGCCGTTATTTACTACATCCGTTGGAATGGTCATTTGAGCGACACCTTCAATCCATGAGAAGCGCAGCGCTTTCTCGGGCTCATCAATCATTACTGAACTATGGATATAATCCAAAATGGCTCCTTCTTCTTCGTCTTGGCCCCATAATTGGTATTTCTTGATCTGACTACCCCAAGTCATCGATTCGAATTCTTTCGGGATCCAGACTTTAACGATTTCTTTCATCTTATTCTTATTCGCTTCGATAGCACAAAACCAATTCCCATCATCTTCATACCAGTTGGATATGCTTCCTGTTTAGATTGTTAACTCCGCGTAACCTACTGTATGGATTCTCTTACGCAGATAAAAGCCAGGTCCTACTTGCTGAAGGGTTCTGGATTCTTCTACACGGGGCTTATTATCACTATTGATTTGCTGAGCCAAGCCCTGTAGGTCGCGTCATTAGTACAGTGTAAGCTTATACTGCGAAGTATATAAATGAAGTGAAACTTACTGGGGAAACCTTGGCATAGCCGATAAGTTCGTTATTAATCCTAAGAAATCCCTGAGCTCTACGAAAGAGAAAGCTCAAGGCTAGCAAGATCGGGAAGATAGACTTCGATCGTAGCATCGTGTTTGTTTGTATCAGTATTTGAATTACATATAAGTCTTTTAATGATGCGAGATGATGAAAGGGAATCTTGGTGCTTGCCAAAGAAGAGAGTGATGAATTAAATCCGAGGCAAGTGCGGAAAGAAAGATGCATATATACCTCTTTTTTTTGAACCGTTATCGAAATCTCTACGTCGGCTATAAATAATCGAACGGCTTATAATAGGGTATCATATCTTATCTCTTTATTGTTATATCGAAGATCATCCTTCCTTATCCCCTCTACAATCAAGGGCAGGATCTCAAGGGTAGACTTGCGCTCGGTTGTGGCTCGTGCCACCTTTAGGATCCTTCCTGCCTTTTAATCGTCGGCTCGCTTAGGTTAGTATGGACTTGGCCCTCCTTAAGGATACCGTAATACAGTAATTCAGGAGAGAGATGGAACGCTAGCCGTTTAGCGTACTTGGCAAACAAGGGGGATCAATAGTTACGCCGCTCCGAGTAGAACGACATGCGTTCCTTTTATTAAATTGCTTTCTTCGCGACTATACTATACTAGTACTTTTGCTATAAATACTACTTATTTTTAGTCAATCATAAAGCAAGAAAATATTAACGGAGAATGCAGCATTGTTCGTAAGTATCGTATAATTAAGCAAGCTTAAATAAAAAATTACGATTAATTGTTTTTAAATGTTTTTTGCGATCGTAACCGGCGATTCCGAACTCTTCGATCTACACCTTTCGCTATTATCTCGCTCTTTCCACCACTTTTGAATAGTAGCTTTATTGATCTTTTAATATAAAGCAGCTTGTTTTTATGTGAGAGTAAGCGGGCAATAGAATTACTCGAGCGATCTTATAAAAATAAAAGAATAGTATTGCGTCGACTTTACGCTCTTTAAGTTTGAATACTTTCGGGCATATAATAAAAGGACGAGGTGTATAAGCTGTAACAGGATTGTTATAAGCGTCTTTTCTAGCTTGATAATAAGCTAATATTCTAAGCTTTTTCCTAGGCCGTGGTCGAGGAGCGCGCTCCTTATAAAAAAAAGCATTTGAAGTGTTTAATGAATGAGATTCTTAAAGAGGTAGTTTAAAGCCGAATTTTCGTTTACCAACTATAATTTTAAAGACTTATATTAACGTTAAAAGATGCAAATAATAAGTTCAAAGTATTCAAAGCAAATATTATGCTAAAGCACACTTAGGATTTTAATATGCGGCCGCTTCTCGGAGCGGCGTAACTATTGATCCCCTTTGTTTGCTAAGTACGCTAAACGGCTAGCGTTCCATCTCTCTCTTGAATTACTACGGTAGATCACAGCTTGATAACGCCTCCACTACGATTTGTACCAAGTAGGTATAAAGATCCGATATAGCTATTGGGAATAACGTCGTAAACCTCCGATATGATTTCTCGTAATCTCTTAGAAGAGATCGATTAAGCGTTATAAACAGATAGACCATATCTTTTCTAAATTTAGTAGTTTCTTTCGAGCGTATACGTCGGATTATTGTGTTTAAAAAGCAAAAGTCGTAGAAAAGCTCCTTTTTGAAGGAATCAGTGAACTCAATAATTGATTGATATCTATTATAGGCAGCTATCATCAGATTGAAATAGATCGAATATATAAAGATACTTAGCAAAAAGAAGATTCTAAGCGAGACGAGAGATAAGTAAAGTTAATTAGCATTTATTTCAATTGGCTTGAAACCCTTGTATACTCCACTATTGCTTCTTGCTATACCCCTGCTATACCCTGCAATCAGCCTACAAAAGACCCAGTAATCGTCGGCTCGCTTAGGTAGGCCTCCTTTTATCCTTTCAGTCTTAGTCGGCATAAGCGATTGCGGATTTTTTTGTTTTGCTATTAATTTTTATATACAAAATACAATTTACAATATTATTCTTTGATTTATAACCGCATAATTCGATTGTATTCTATAATTAATTATGGGCCGAAAACGCACCCGCGCGAAGAAGCCTTCAAGGATTTTTTAATACAAAAGCTACGATTAACTAGGTAATCTTAATGCAATTGAAGATCTTGCGACGCGTCTTTAATGCGGTGTAACATTCTTATCCGAATACCTTTAAGAAACTTCAAAAACTGCCGCGCGTATATACGACCTTAATAAGCGCATATTAAATAGTTACTTCAAGCGACTGAAAAATCGCAAGCGCGGCGGTCAAAATAAGATCTTGCAAAGCCAGCATGTCAACGCGTCACGCTAATTTATCATTCAGCTCCTTGCTAATTGGCTTACTCTTACACCGCAATTGATCTATAACGTTATATTCGCTTTGCGCAAAACATACGATGAATATGCGAAGCCGCAAAGCTGGAGCTGGTTCATAAGGTAGTGGAAAACGAGTGATTCAATACTTATTCCAATTCTCGATTCGAAAGAGATTTGGTGGATGCAACAACCTTTTGAACGTCAAATTCTGCGGCCTCGTAAAAAAAGTATTCCTCGACTAACTCTTTCTTAACTTGAACCTTTTCTCGGTAACGATGATCTGATAACTACAATCAATACTATCAGAGACTTTTTTTTAAAGCAAGATATTATTCTTTTTCTTAGTATTAATATCGATAGCGATGGCTTTGATTCTAATAATAGTAAAAGTTCAAACGATTCGTTGCGTCAGGTAAAAGACGAATTAAATTCCAATAAAAATAATAATCGATAGTCAGATATTTTATCGGATGATACAATTTTAAATGTTTCGAAAGACGATATAATAGTCGATTAATTATTCATATAGATATTTCTTAGTTGTAATAATAAATGCTATAGTATAAAAGAATTTTTGATATACTCGAAAAATTCGCATTCGCTTCCGATCCGCAATCGCTTATGCCGACTAAGACTGAAAGGATGAAAGGAGGCCCACCTAAGCGAGCCGACGATTATTACATATATTTAGTTGGGGGCGTGGGGGAGAAGAGTATACTGCAGGTGAGAATTCCTACCCGTACCATCTATACGTACAGAGTAAATGCCAGCCAGCCCCACAGTGCAAGAGAGCCCAATAACGGACGTACATGCGTCAACCTCAACTCAGTAGCTCTTTGATATCCTCAATTCGCTGCAACTTCTTCTCCTCGTCGCTCATCATCCCGAGGGAGCTTGCACTATCGGGGTCGGTTAGCTAATAAGCCTTTCAAGCGCGCAGGCTTCAACCTACATGAACTTCTTCCTGTCCTGGATCTTCAGCATCTTCTGTTCTATGCTCTCCTTCACGATAAATCTGCAGACTTTCACTTCTTCTGTCTGACCCATGCGATGCACTCGATCGATAGCTTGGGCCTCCACGGCGAAACTCCACCAAGGATCCATCATGTACACTCTCCTCGCCATTGTCAGGTTTAAGCCAACTCCACCAGCTCTCAAACTCAGCAGAAGCACCATTCCTTTGTTGCTGGCGGTAAACTCTTCGATGACAGCTTTCCGAGTCTTCTGCGCCATGGAACCGTCGAATCGGACAAAGGGTATCGAGGCTCGATTGAGAGCAATTTCAATAAGTGAGAGAAACGATGTGAACTGGCTGAAAACAACCGACTTCGTGCCGGGGTTTTTGCGCCTTACACCTTTGAGACTGGTCATGAGTGCACCGATTTTGGCTGAAGAGTTTGAACCTAGCCGTTGTAAAGTGATTCTAGGTTTCCCATCAATATTCTCAGGATGGGTGTCGTCTTTGGTAACCTCGAAGATGTCACGGCTATTGATTAGCTCTCTGCAATTGAAACATCGCGGCTCTTCCCCCTTATCGGTTTGGTGTGTGATGTAGTCGAGGAGACATTTTTTGCATGCCGAGTGCCAACATCCGGTGACGGTTTGCTCGATCATTGGCTCTTCAGAGCAGATGGGACATTCGTTCTCGGCTTCATCACGTATTTGTTCAAGCACATGCGCGCCGAAAACATTTGTATCAGCAGCGTCATCTGTAGCTGCTGTGAAGCGTTCAATAAGAGACTGAAGGTCCATATCATCTGCAAGGCCACTGGCAGCATCTGCTAATTCAGCAGCTTCCTCTTCATCAGCGACCAAATTCTGATTTCTGGTCAAGATTGGATGACAGCAGGTTTGACGGAGACGTAAGATCTGGGCAAAGATACTGGTGTATGCTTTCAAGACTGTACCAGCTTCCACGTTGGCTGCAAAGGTCCGCTTGGCACGAGTGAAAATATGATCATATACCTCTCGCTCTGGTGGTGAGAGCTCGATGTCTACGATCTCAACGGTTTTAAGCGGAAGAGGCACTAGAGCCTCCCCAGCCGGAGTCTTCATGTCTTTGGTTCGCCTGAGAACCAGAGGCTCGAGCACGGTCTGTACGACATCAAGAGCGCGCATGAAGTCTTTCGACTCGAATGGGACCGTGATAAATGTTTTCCAGAAAGAAAAGTTGCTCCAGGGCTCAACCCTCAAGAAGCGGACTAGACTGAACAGATCTTCCAGACGGTTGACGATCGGGGTTCCAGTCAAAACCCATCGATGCTCCGCATCAATTTCGTAACATGCCTTGGCGGTCTTACTTTGACGGTTCTTGATGTGATGGGCCTCATCCAGTATGACACGAAAATACTTCAAAGAGAACAGTCCGCCATGAGAACCCCGGTCTCCGTTCTTGGCGACGACCTGATTGAACTCGGACAAAACCACACCATAACTCGTGATTATAACATTCGGTGCGGTAGAAGCGTTAGCCTCGCAGCAAAGTGTCTGCAAATTTGCTGATTTCTCAGCTCCGTAATATACCATAGTCCTCAAGGTACCCCCCTTGGACGCATTCTCGGCTTCGCTTTGCCACTGAGCCAGCAGAGACATTGGTGCCACAACCAAAGTTGTGCATGGCGCTGGTTCGACGGCAGCTGAGCTTTCAGGATGCCTTGGAAGAGCATTGACTGATGATGGACCACTCCGGGACTCTTGGAGTCTCATAGCAACTTCGGATTTATGCGAGTGTATCAAACTCATCATCTCAATTGTCTTACCCAGGCCCATCTCGTCGGCTAGAATACCACCCAGGCAATGCTGTTCCTGGACTGGAAACTTCAACGAAAGCTCCCCGGAATATGGATTGACGTAGAATCGTTCCTGGTTGGTAACCTGGGGCACATCCTTATCTTCCATGTCCTTGACTGGCCAGGTATACTCTTCCCACAGTGGGTGCATAGACTCCTCTCGAGTTTCATCCTTCTCGTCTTTTTCCTTAGATATCATCCAATGGAGGGCTTGTTTTTGGTACTGCCGTAACTCCATGGCAAAAGTATCAGCCGGCTCTGCGGCGGGAGCATCGAAGTCAAAGGATTGGGCTTTTTTGTAGAGAGTATCCAGTTGGTCTTGTTCAAGTTCCTTCCCATCCTCAGCCTCTTCAGATGGTGGAGAATCCCCACTTGAGCTCTCCTTCTTCAGTTTCTGAGCTTCGTATTGGTCAGCGACTTCAGCAGCCTGGAGCAATCCTTCTCGCTTATGCTTTGCAGTAGCTTCCGATGTTCTTGATGGTACTAAATTGACCTCTTCAAACATCTTGACCAGTGAGACTTGACGTAGGCGCAGCTCCTTCTCCTCTATGGACTCCTTTTGCTCGAACAGGCCTGTCTGGCGATTCTCTGGAGCCTTGAAGCGGCCATTATCAAAAGCCGATCGGAGTAGTGAGCACCTTAGCTGAAGAAAGATAGTGTCGTTGGTACGAATTCTTTCTGGGGCATAAACGCAAGTCCCCTCAAATCTGCATACTTTCTGGTCGATCAATGTAGAAACCCAATTGGCAACTTCTCGTGAAAGTCGCCCAATCTCCTCCCCTCTCGTATTTGTGAACCGCACAATCACATCAACCCGTTTTGCTGCTGCACTTCCGGGTTTGGGAAGGGCAGGTGCCTGCGCAGGCCTGCCTCTGCCCTTCCCAATAGGTGCCTTGGGTGGCAATATCTTCTGTCTCTCAATTCGTACAATCTCGCCGTGCTTTATCAAAGTTGTCCCACTTCTAGTCGCCCATCCTTCAACACCAAAAGCTCCAACGTATCGATACTCTGGCATCGAGTCTTTCAATTCAACATTAGGCGGGGGTTGTCCCAATTTGACTGGAGTTGCTGTTTTGCCATTCGCGCCATTGGAGTTGAACCTGGCATACCCATTGAGAGCCATGGGCCTCGGATTTAACGTTCGACCAGAGGATACGCAAGTCGATACGGTTTTCCAAGATCCATCCAAGTACATATTCACAGCCTTCTCCATATCGTCCCCAGATGCCTCGCGGATCTTCTTCAGCGTATCTGCGTCTACTGAGTCTCCTACAAAGCTTTCGAACGTCTCCTGGTCGAACCCTATCGGCCCATTGCTTAGAGCTGACTGACTTGAGCCTAATTCTTCGTCGTGAGGTGCTGGCTTAGTCGTATTTGCTGAGGGTAACGCGTCGACTTCGTCTGGTAAAACAGTATCTTGGGCCACAGTGTTGTCTAGTATCTCCGATTTTTCGGTAAAGAATCTTCTCTTCTTCGCAGGAGGCTCTTCTGAGTTTGAAAAATCCATGTTGACGTTAATGCTGGTTGTGATGAAGCTTGAGTTATAGAGATGGGTTTGAAGACGACGCGTCTGTAAAGACGTGCCAGGCTCGTGTAAATGATTTTCGCTGACGTACTCGAACTTATTTGGCTGACCATGCAGGTATCTGTCGCAACCACAACAACTTCTATTCTTGTTTTAGTACTTATTTTCCTTTACTCTAATGTATTGTACAAGGGGAAATGTACGATTGCAGATCTTTTCTGGCTCGCGCAATCCCGTAAACCGAACATACGCGACCACCGCATACAGCACTCCAGCGCCACATCCATCTCGAATCTCAGCGGCAGATGTTCAAGCTGCTCGTCTATACTGCTCGAATCTGCTGCAGTGAGTGACAATAAATTCAACTGTGATACTGTCTCTCTAATGGTCAATAGGAAGTTCGACTCGCCATCCTATACTCTCCAAACCTTCGTCCCTCCTTCAGCCAAAGACGCATACCTTTCAATACGAACGCTTAACATCGAGCTGGCACGGATACCAGACTTGGTTTCGAATCCCACAGTCGGTGCCCTCCGTATGCAATTCTGGCGCGATAATTTGACTCGTACTTTTGCCAATACGCCGCCGAAAGAGCCTGTCGCAATCCTCCTACACCATGCTCTCCAAGCTCTCCAGGAACGTCATCCAGGGATTAGCACAAATGTAATGAAGGGATGGTTCATGAAAGTAATCAACGCAAGGGAGCAATATATGGATAATCGACCGTACGCAAGTATGAGCGATTTGGAGACCTATGCCGAAAACACATACTCTACATTGATGTATTTGACACTGGCGGCTCTGCCTCTGCACTCGATGGCAGCAGACCACGTCGCAAGTCATATAGGAAAGGCCACCGGAATTGTCGCGGTGCTCAGAGGTCTGCCATTACTGGCTTTCCCACCCCCTCCAAATCACCATAGCAATAACACGGCATCTGCAGGCGGAAACACAGGAGGGAGACAGGGATCTGTTGTCCTGCCTTTGGACGTAATGGCAGACGCTGGAGTGAAGGAGGAAGAAGTTTTCAGGCAGGGTGCTAATGCTCCAGGATTGCAGGATGCCGTATTCACTGTCGCCACTCGAGCAAATGATCATTTGATTACCGCAAGAGAAATGCTGAAGAACTTGCAACAAGGGAAAGACGCAGGTCATGATTTTGAGCACGAGGGCGAGGAAGGCCACCAATACGCTCAGTCTGATTCCAAAGGACTCTCGCAGGCGGATGAGATTGAGCGTGGCTTCGGCGTGCTGATGCCGGCCCTGCCGACGAGATTATGGTTGGAGAAACTTGAGAAACACGACTTTGATGTTTTCAGACCAGAGTTGAGAGCAGGGGACTGGCGTCTGCCATGGAAAGGATATTTGGCTTATTCACGAAGATCAATATGAGCTTTTCGAGGATTACCCGTCACTGTCTTCGAAGTACTCAAGGCATCAGACTGGAAAATACCCGTCCCGTGACATAACAAGATCAATTAGGACGAACCGGCGTGCGACTGATTGTCGGCATTGGAAAAAAGAATTGGAGACGGCAATCTGATTACAGTCTGTGTTCTTGGTAGCGTCTGTGGGCAGCTTGAATATTGACTAACAACATCCGGGCCTCTAAAGATGCACACATATCGATGCATCAATCCGAAAAATATCTTGCACCGTTAGAAAATCGCCAAGTGCTATCAAGCAGTAAGGCATCGCCAGATCTAGTCCAACCTAGGAAACCAAATATGCAGCGGGATTTCTCTTCCGGTTGAAAAACCACATCAACTGAAGATTAACTGTGGCATAGCTGGTTAGCGTGGAATTTCCACATCGTTGCTTCCACTGAAATTCCCCAAACACGGTTCTTTATATCATCGCAGCTATTGTACGTAAATATGGCTTCGGGTAACAAAAACTCCACACTGAGTCAAGACAGATCTTCAAAAAGGTATCAACGGCTGAGCTAAGTCTTGCGCCTGTCCTTGTGTACTCCCGGCTGTCGATAATCCTCTTCCATCTCGTCTCTCGGATATACTTCTTTCCACCTGTCTTAGCATGAAATCAAGGACTTAAAATTCTCTTCAGTGGAGCAACGCAGCGGAAAGTTCTCGGGCGTTTGCAGAGAGAGCGCGCAATCGGATTGCTTTAAGCAGAGGATACGCAGGATTCCAGGAAAGTACCTCGAACCTACACTGCTGGCTATACAACCCACGATACACGCAGACACGCAGCGGAACGACAGTTCTAGCCCTCTGCCAGTATTCCCGGCGTGCTCCGCCCTCGAACTGGAAACCAAGAAAGCCGGCGAGTATTGAGCAAAGGTGGTAAGATTGGAGTCTGCTGAGGCCTACAATTTTCCCGATCTTCTTCGCCGCGATCGTTGGAAGAATGAAAAAATCTATTACTAAATACAAGCTGGGAAGGGGGGCTTTCTGTCGATGTGGGTAAAGAATGGCTTCCTAGCAAATAAACTCAGGAGGAACACCATTTTGGCTTGTTTTGCTGTTTCTCGGAAGACTCTTTTTTCCCTTCGCTGCGAACGGCACGAACATCGGGACGTCCTACCTCGAGGAGCTATATAGTTGTTATCGCGGATGGCTTGGCGCGCTCATCATCTCAAGTGTCTAATTATTCCTCGCTGGTTCCGTCGGCTTAAGGCTGACTTGTATGGCAGCGGATCAGATGTTTTAGAATATTCCAGTGCAATGTTCGCTCACGATCCATATATGTTGGAAGCAGCTGGACGATGGAAATCGACGACGGATAGACTTGAGAGGTCGCGATACATGGAGGGGATGCGGATTTGGCTCGAGGACGTGAGGGAAAGGGAAGAAAGAGCTTGGTCGAATAGCGGGACTGAAAGGGAAGACAGAATATGCGGTCTTGATGATATTTCTTTCTTTGGTTAGCGCAGCATTGGTTTGATCAGAGGACTTCGCATATGCCATGCCTGTTGCTTTTTCGAGACGAGAATGGAAGGAACATATATCTTCCAAGCCGTCTTGATATCCGACATGTATTTAAAAAGCAAAAGAAGAATAGACGTTGTGATACATTTTTCTACTCTCGGCACCGATCATACTAATATATATCAAAAAACAAATAGCTCCGGCGAAACTTGGCCACTACCTCCGGAGCTACGGTGACTACCCTACAAGACCTGCCTCGCTAAAGACGCCGTCGTTGAAACAACTACTAAATAAATGCTTTATATTTCAAAAAAGAAATTGGAAGCTCAAAAAATACCGCACAAAGTGCAAAAAAGAGTTCAGCCAAGTCGATGCCTACATCTCTTGTCGTGTTTGTCGTGCTTGTCGTGTTTTATTGACCCGTTCTTAACCACTGCCCGGCTCAGAAACGCTTCGAAGTTGTTGATCCACCACACCAGGTGGTCCGTCAAGAGAGCACATCTAACTCAATTGCGGCTACTGGATGAAAGTTGATGACCTATCGGGGTATATGAATCACATAATAAAATCAATTAGCCGCGTACCGAGATATATGTGGCCGCTAACGAAGCGATTTACGTGATGGATAGGTAACTAGTAAATTGTTTGATTCTTTTTAATTCCCGATATGATATAAGCTGTGCAGCAGAAAACATACCTACATTTCAGTTAAAAAACACCCTAAGCTAGACCTATATCAGGCCCTTCCGGGCTTTGAATCTCGACGGCGGGTGAAGCTCAGGATCTTCAGATATCGTATACATTTCCACAATATATACATACCCAACCCATACCTAAATCCCCTTTGTGTAAGATATAAAAATATCCAGCTTAAGACTCCCAAATCAACGCCGTTCGCTATCATATGAGAAAACCTAGAGACGATATTGCAAAAATGCTTCGCAACCTTTCGCTGCCGCTCAGATTTTCTCTGCTGATGTATATATAGAGCGAGCAGACAGTAACAGATCAAACCAAGGCAGTATATTCTCAACTAAAAATCAATCATGTCCTTAACGGACACAGAGAAGGATATTTAATTTCCTGCCCAAGAGCCCTTCCTCCTCCTCCCCCCCATGGCCAACATCCGTTACTAGTACCTACTTATACATGCCACCGCCCGTTTGTCTCAACATGATATATATGAACAGCAAAAAGACTTCTTAATAACAACAGCTACATCAGATTTCCAAAAATATCCGTAGTGCCAAACTAGTAATAAGAGCCCCTAGCTCAAACCGATGCTGATATTCGCATACCCTTGATGCGCTTATGAATCCATGAATCCAAGTTTCTCTTCTTTTCGAGGGAGGGTTTTTTTTGCCTCCCTTACCGAAAGCAGCAAATCTCTCTATCTGGCTAAGCTCCAGCCTCGAGCGGATCACACAAGAGTACAACATCGAACGGAAAAAAACGTAGATACCATCGAGAGAGAAAAAGAGAAAAAATCCGTAACTGTCCTCCTGACAGTTTCAAAACTGTTCAAAGCTTTCAAATTCTTAACATCATTGAAATCTCTACCCCCTTTCTCCTCCCCATTCAAAACTCAAAGCCGTATAAGATCTAGTTCAGATAATCGAGGAACCAATAACCATATCCATCTAGCCTAGCGTAGCCTGCGAGCCATACACACACATATACACATACCTGCACCACCTATCTACCTCCCCATCTACCTACCTAATAAACCAAACATTTCCAGCCAAGCTACTTAACCTTCCAATAACCATCCAACCCCTCAACCTCCCTCCTAAGCTCTCTCTCCATCCTCTCCAATAAACCCATTCCCATCATCATCATCATCACCATCATCACCACCACCATCACCATCACTAAAACCCACAAACCCATCCAAGCCCCCAGATCCACACTCTCTTCCCCTCCCATCTCATCTCATCTCAGACAAGTAACCCATTTTTATATCTATATCTATCCCTACTCTACCCTACCCTACCCTACCCTACCCTACCCTACTCTTTCTTTTCCTTTTCCTTTTCCTCTCCTTTTTTTTTCTTTCTCAAAAAGAAGAAGAAGAAAAAGAAGAAGAAGAACAGAGATACGAAACCTCAAAGTGTGTCATTCATTTTCTATATTGGTTTTTTCCTTTCTCTCCCCCTCTTCTCCCCTCTTCTTCCCCTCTTCCCCCTCTCTCCCCTCTCCCTCCCCCCCCCCCCCCCCCTTTTTTTTCTTAACGCATTGAAAAGAGTTTTTTCATGTAAAGAGAGAGAGAAATACATACATATATATATATACATACATACATTCTCGTCCTCCCGACGAGGCTCGCTCGCTAAGGTGGGTCTCTCTACACTCATCCATCCATCCATCCATCCATCCATCCATCCATCCATCCATCCAGACTGAATGCCGTTTGTTGTAGGATGGGAAGAGGGGAGGGGAAAGGAAGGGGAAAAAGGAAAGAGACCAAAAAAAAAAAAAAAAAAAAAACAATTCTGTCGTGCGAGAGTGGAGAGGGATACTGTAGATAATCCTTTGAGGTCCTTTGGGGAGGGGAGGGAGGGGAAGGAGAGGGAAGGGGAAGGAGAGGTTACAGGAAGGGAAAGAGAGGTGTGTGAGAGGGGGAGAGAGAGAGGAGAAGGGAAGGGAAGGGAAGGGACGGGAAGAGAAGAGAAGAGAGGAGAGAAGAGTAAGAAAAGTTATAATAAAAGTAAAGGAGAGAGAAGAAGAAAAAGATGTATCCATTTCCATGCACATATCAAATCAAATGAGTCCAATTAAACTAAGCTGTCAGGTCCGTACAACTAATTAAGGCAAAAATAATTTATCCACAAGACTCCCTCCG